GAGACAGAGAACATGAGCAAGCCAGGGAGGGACAGAGAGAGAGGGAGACACAGAATCCCAAGCAGGCCCCAGGTTCTGAGCTGTCAGCACTGAGCCCAATATGGGGTTCAAACCCATGCACTGTGAGATCATGACCTGAGCTGAAGTAAGACATTTAACCGACTAAGCCACCCAGGTACCCCAAGCTTGTTATTTTCTTAAAGGCAGATACTATGTGTTATACTGATCTCCTTTTCCCTATAGCCTCTGAAACAATGTTAGACATAGTAATGGATTGATTAATGTTTGTGGAACTAAATATAATGACAGGAACTGACCTGGAAGAGAATTAAACCCATGACATTTGCCATATTGCCCCAGTTTCTTACCAACAAAGCTAATTTAGCTCAGTATCCTTTACAAAAACAAAAAAGCTGACAAAATATTTGTGACAATAGTAATGGCCAAGACTGAGCTGTCAAGGAGATTTATGAGCATGACTAAACTGAACAGAAGTCTGTCTCTAAGTTGTGTTGTTTGGTTCTGGCCTTCAGACTGCCTGTTTGCTTTCTGTGGACCTCCTTTTCATACTTTGGATTTTTTTTTTAACAGTTCAACTCTCACATGCTTTCCTTTTTTCTCCTTGCCCCCCCCTTTACATCTTGAAGCTTTAGGCAAAATTTTCACCAATTTACCAAAGACATATATGAGTCTTCCTATATACAATGTGTTCTTCTAAGTACTTCAACATATTAACTCCTTATAGCAATCCTATGAGTTGGGTACTGTTGTTCTTCCCATTGTACAGGTGAGGTAACTCCCATAGGACATTCTAGCGGCCCATTATCCATTTCCCATACCCAAAAGCATCTGGGTGGCAGGATGGAGGTGGATATAAAGTGAAAACAAAAGCCTTTGCCTTTCATACGGCCAGTCCCTTACCTGTCAGGCTGTGCTTGGGGTCTAGAGAGGGCAGGGCAGTTATATAATTGGGACAGTTTTGCTACAAAACACCCAAGGAGTTCTCTTGCCCTTAGGCATTACCCTCTCTCCCCTTAGGCAGTCCAGAATCTTTTCCTACTTGGCCTATAGTCTGACTCTCGTTTTGCCCTCTAGCCTACAGTCTGACTGACTCTGCCCCTCCCTCTCTCCAATCTGACTCTCTCTCACACAGATACATACACACATAGACACACACATGGAACATATATAATGTTCATCATTCATATCTTGGGTTTAAAGCAAACTACAGTGGCAAAAACAGTCTCGGAACTTGGTGAGACCTGAGTGTGACCTCTCCCTCTGACTCTTGCTGTCTCTGTGATTTGTGGCAAGTCATGTAGTCACTGAGTGCTTTGGTTTTCTCAGCTGTGAAGTTAAAGAAGATGATAATGATTATAATAAACACTGATGGATAAATGAGGTGATGCATCTGGGTTCTTAACCCAGAAATTGGCACATAGAAATGCTCTATACATGCTAGATCATTTTGTAATTATTGATGTGTAAGACCTTCTCATATATTAGAGATAAGCCTCTCTTTGGCATATATGTAGATTATAGAACTGAATTTTGGGGATCTAGAACAGGCTTGTCTTTAGGAATTTAATAGTTGTTTTGAATCTCTGTTTTAAAACGTTTATTTGCTTTTTAAGTAATTTCTGCACCCAACATGGGGCTCGAACTCATGACCCCAAGATCAAGAGTTGCATGCTCCACCGACTGAGCCAGCTAGGCAACCTTGTTTTTGCATCTTGATGTTGGTTTTCTTTTCTTTATTTTTGGCCTTCCATGGGCCTTTGGAATCATTTCCATCATCCTCACGATTTCACTTCTGGTGCCCAGATATCTTTTTGACCTTGTGTAAATGGCAGCATTCTTTTAATGCCAGTGGCAAAGCCTGGCACTGGAGTCCAGCTTTGCCTGGACTCTTAATGCGATGTTTCCCTCTGCCAGGGTAAACATTTATGCTGTGGCTAAACAAGAATATTTATGCCTGGGGCTTCCCATAGGCAGGCCCAGAGACAGAGTTAGGCCAGGCCTGGAATGGCTGATAATGACCCCTGCCCTAAGCTCTTGAGGCTTGAGCAAGCATTGTCAGCAATCAGTTTCTCAGAGCACAGAGTGCCCCCCTCTCATGACCCTGTTGTAAAAGTTATGGTCACCTGGCCAGCCCTGGGAGGTGGGGGTGACACTGCATCAGTGTCCCTTTTGGATACCTCGTCCCTTTTGTGGACTGAGCCAAGTCCTGTGAAACTGCAGGACCGCGACGGCTTGGCGTGGCCTCAGAGCATTCTCCCCTTGGTCATGCCCCTGAACGCGAATGGAGAGCTGGCTAGGGAATGAATAAGGTGGTTTTCCTGAAACCCAAAGAGAGTTTGGAAACACGAGCCTCTCTGACTCTCCACCTGAGGTCATATTTGGGAGGGACGTGGGGAGGGGAGCTCTGGTATCAGGCAGCAGGAGGGATCTAGGAGTTTGGGGTCTGGAGTTAGAGAAACCTGGGTTTCAATCTTGGCTCTTCTCTCTTGCGTGTGTTGTGAACCAGGCCACTTTGCACCTCTGAACTCGGTTTCCTCCCCACCAAATGGGAAAAGAAGTAATTGTACCTGTCTCATAAGATTGCTGTCAGAATGAAGCGAGAGAATTCATGTCAGGCAGTTAAGTAGATAGGCGCCAAGATTATGTTAAGTGCACGTTGCCACCATCCTCGCGGCATTAGTAACAGTGAGCAACAGTAATGAGCAGACTGGGGGAAGTGAAAAACCGCCTTTGGGCTTTGGTGCTGTTCTCATGGGTCTCCGTAGCGTCTCTCGGTCTTAGGCACACATCTGTGAGCTTCAAGAGAGTGCCTGAACTTCTTGGGGGCCTTCAGAGTATGGACTGCTTTCCCATTCAGGACATGGGAGAAATCCTGATATTGCAGGGCTGCTGTGTGAGTGAGTGAGTGAGTGAGTGAGTGTGTGTGTGTGTGTGTGTGTGTTTGTGTGTGTGTGTGTATGTATCAGAGAGAGAGACAGAGTGAGCACGCTAACATCTTGAGGTTCCAAAGGCCTGTTGACTCAGCGGTGGTTGTACCTGACCCAGTAAATCTTCTTTCCTTCAGAAGAACTGTAATTCTTGACTTGTCCCTCAGTTTTAAAGGACTGTTTGTCAGGGCCCCTTGGTGGCTCAGTCGGTTAAGCATCGGACCTCAGCTCAGGTCATGATCTCTCCATCCGTGAGTTCAACCTCGAGTCAGGCTGTCTGCTGACAGCTCAGAGCTAGAGTCTGCTTTGGCTTCTGGTCTCCCACTCTCTGCTCCTCCCCCACTCACGCTCTGTCTCTCTCTCCCTCAAAAATAAATAGACATTAAAAAAAATAAAGAACCATTTGCCTTGGGTGATGAAGGAAGTTGTTTAAATTCATCCTCAGAGCCCTCACAAGCAGTTTGTTCCTGACTTGGTTGTTCTTTTTTTTAATGTTTATTTATTTTTGAGAAAGAGACAGAGCACAAGCAAGAGAGGGTCAGAGAGAGGGAGAGAGAGAATCCCAAGCAGGCTCCACACTGTCAGCATAGAGCCCAACACGGGGATCTAACCCATAAACCATGAGATCATGACCTGATCCCAAATCAGAACCTCAACCGAGCCACCAAGGTGCCCTCTAATTTGGTTTTTCTTGACTTATAAAGGGTTTCTAGCATACATTTCAACAAGTCTGATATTAGGAAACAGTATTATTACTGATGCTGGAGACTGGTGGTTTTCCTGGTCTTCATCTTCATTTTCTTCTTCTCCCCACCTTTCCCTTTTTTGTTTTGCTTTGAAGTCACAAAACCCAATTTGTAAAATTAAATTTTTTTTAATGTTTTATTTATTTCTGGGAGAGAGAGAGAGAGACAGCGTGAGCAGGGGAGGGTCAGAGAGAGAGGGAGTCACAGACTCCGAAACAGGCTCCAGGCTCTGAGCTGGCCGTCAGCACAGAGCCCTATGCGGGGCTCGAACCCACGAACCGCGAGATCATGACCTAAGTGAAAGTCGGACGCTTAACCGACTAAGCCACCCAGGCGCCCCACAATTTGTAAAATTAAAGAAAGCCTGGAAAGTCACCACTTCTGCCATTCCCACCTCTGACAGCGACCCTGAAGATATTTCTTTTTTTTGTTTTTTAATTTTTAAAATATTTATTTTTGAGAGAGAGACAGAGTGCAAGTTGGTGAGGGGCAGAGCGAAAGCGAGACACAGAATCCGAAGCAGGCTCCAGGCTCTGAGCTGTCAGCACAGAGCCTGATGCTGGGCTCGAACTCACACTGGTCATGAGATCATGACCTGAGCTGAATTTGGATGCATATCCCAGTGAGCCACCTGGGACCCCCTCCTTTTTAAAAAATTTTTTTTCAATGTTTATTTTTAGAGAGAGAGAGAGAGAGTGAGAGAGCGAGTGAGCGAGCTGGGGAGGGGCAGAGAGAGAGGGAGACACAGAATCTGAAGTGCACTGAAGACATGTCTAAGAATGTGGCAGAATACAGTTGACAAAATACTATGTTCGGCTTGCCACATTGAATAGCCTTTTTATGCCTCCGCCACTGTTTGGGGAAGAAGGATCATACGTGGCTGTGTAAATAAACAAGCACATTATAAAAAACAGAGTGTCTCGTACTCCACTGCAGTAACAGGGCGGTTGCCTTGTATAACCCCTCTTTTCAACAGTTGCCCTGAACCGCGGAGGCTGAAGTTGTTGATTGGGACTGATCGGAAGCCTAGGGAGAGCAGGGCTCATTATGGAATGAAGTAGTGTAGCCAAAGCGTGTTCAGAGAGCATTTGGGGAATTTTGAGGCAGTGGTCAGAACATTTCATTAGTGCAAAACGTGCTGCTTTCAATTTATTATGCGTGTTCGCCAACACTGGTGCCATTTTACACAGAGAACCGCTTGTTGACATGCTCTCCCATATGGCATGGTGTAACTGGACACATTTTTGCCTGCTTTTGCAACAGAGTGCGAGTGTGACCTGGACTTTTATCTGTTTTTCCTCTCCAGGCTCCAGATGCACATGTTGAATGGAGCACTTCTGGCCCTGCTGTTTCCTGTGGTAAATACCCGGCTGGTAAGTTCCCTGTTCTAGAAACATGCCAGCAATGTACAGAGCAGTATTTGCTCGCTCCTTCACTATCCTGTGCTTGCCCTCATCCTTAGCTCATGTGCCCATGTAGGTGTTAAAATATCTATATATTTAATATTGAGGTTTGACACGGCCCTATTTGGATGCAGTGGAGCTTGGTAGGTAAGGGTGGGAGTATTTGATGGAACTCTGGGGCGTTATTAAGAGTTGAGGCCAGAACCGGGATAGACCGACAAAGCCTACAGGAGCTCTTGGAGAGTTTTGGTGGAGAGAAGGGGGGGCTGGGCTGAGCAACTCAATTAGAGGTTTCCAGATGTTCAAAGGTGCTCTAGTTTGGACTCAGCCACATTGGCTCAGAATAATCAGATGGGGAGCCTCAAAGCCTGTCTGCTTTGCCAAGAGGCCCATTGGGAAAGAAATAGATTCTTTCCCCCATTCACCCAAGCCTGCAGGGCCGTCTGGGCCCCTGCCCCCCACCCCCTGCAGTGGCTAGCAAGTAGAATCCCAGTGTAGCAGGGGCTGGTTGATAAATGGGCATAGAGAGAAGCAAGAGTTTTAAGACTGGGGTGGCAGGGCCCTGTCCTCAGACTCCCTCATGCGGGACTGTGGAGGGATTAGCCGGCCATGTTAGAAAGCACAGGAAAAGAAATCACCTGTAAAATCCTGGCTACTGCTTTCTGTTTTCATGACTTAAATTTGCGTCATGCATTAAGATCACAGTTTAGGGGCGCCTGGGTGGCTTAGTCGGTTAAGCGTCCGACTTTCGCTTAGATCATGATCTCGCGGTTCGTGGGTTCGAGCCCCGCGTCGGGCTCTGTGCTGACTGCCAGCTCAGAGCCTGGAGCCTNCTCCCTCTCTCTCTGACCCTCCCCAGCACACACTGTCTCTATATCTCTCACCAAAAAAAAAAAAAAAAAAAAATAAAAAAAAAAAAAAAAAGATCACAGTTTAAATCTCATGATGCTAATCCTTGCTCTTTGGATAGCATTTTATAGTTTACGGGGTCTTTTCACATAACAGTTACGTGAGGTAGATAAGGGCAAGTATTATGACCTCTTGTTATGGAGGAAGAAACTGACGTTCTGGGATTCACACAAGTTCTAAGTGGCAGTTAGGAATTGAGAAGCCTCTAGATCCTATAAGCACAGCTATCCTTCACTCTCTCCAAGGATGTTTTCACACCTTCCTCACATGTACGTATACCCTTATGATCGCTCTATGTTTCTAGATGCATGTTGTACATCAACAGAAATTAAAAGAAAAAGCATTCATCTAAAGCAGTGATCTTGAACCCAGGCTCAAAACTTTGCTCCAGGCTCACCCAGGGGTACTTAAAAAAACAAACGAATGAACAACAGCAACAACAAAAACAAGCAGAAACTATTGATGCCTTGGAGCATCTGAGTTCTTGATCTGTGACACAGCCTGGGTATAGTGTTTTTAAGAAGTGTTTCTAATGTGGAGCTGCAGTTGAGGACCACTGATTTTGTGCAGTAGCTCTGAAACTCAATGTCCATAGCAATCAACCTAAGGAAATGACTAAAAAATGTGGATTGCCAGACTTCACCTTCAGAAGGTCTGATTCAGAGGATTGTGGATGATGCCAGGAAATGAGCCTTGGTAATAAGTCCCCAGGTAATGTCGATTGCTGGGGTCCTCAGACCACTGTTGGAGAATCAGCATCCTAGGTGATTATAATTCCAGGTAACTCCAAATGCAGAACTCCAAGTGTGGTCTGAGGACCAGCCCACGTGGGTGCTTCCTCTTAGAAATGCAGAATTTTATTTAATTTATTATTTAATTTTTATTTTTTAAATTATTTATTTAAATCCAAGTTAGTTATAATGATTTCAGGAATAGAATTTGTCACTTCATTGTAACACCCAGTGCTTATCCCAACAAGTGCCCTCCTTAATGCCCATCACCCATTTAACCCATCCCCCCCGACCTCCCCCCCAGCAATTCTCAGTTCTCTCTTTTTAAGACTCTCTTATGGTTTGTCTCCCTCTCTGCTTTTTAAATAACTAAATAAATTAATTTATTCACATTTTTAAATGTTTATTTTTGAGAGAGAGACAGAGACAGAGTACGAGCTTGGGAGGGGCAGAGAGAGGGAGACACAGGATCCAAAGCAGGATCTGAACTGTCAGCACAGAGCCCAATGTGGGACTCCCATCCCATGACCTGTGAGATCATGACTTGAGCTGAAATAGGATGCTTAACTGACTGAGCCACCAGGTGCCCATTTTTATTTATTTTTGAGAGAGAGAGAGAGAGAACAGAGCACGACATGAGTGGTGGAGGGCAGAGAGAGAGGGAGACACAGAATTTGAAACAGGCTCCAGGCTCTGAGCTGTCAGCACAGACCCCGACATGGGGCTCAAAGTCACAAACTGTGAGATCATGACCTGAGCTGAAGTGGAACGCTTAACCAACTGCACCACCCAGGCAGCTCTCCCTCTCTGTTTTTTTATCTTATTTTGGCTTCCTTTCCCCCATGTTCATCGGTTTTATTTCTTAAGTTCCACATATGAGTGAAATCATATATTTGTCTTTCTCTGACATACTTATTTCACTTAGCATAATACGTTCTAGTTCCATCCGTATTGTTGCAAATGGCAAGATTTCATTCTTTTTGATGGCGGAGTAATATTCCATAGTGTGTGTGTGTTTGTGTGTGTGTGTGTGTATGTATGTGTGTGTATAGTGCTGCTATAAACATTGGGGTAGAAATGCAGAATTTTAGGCCCATACCTCAGACCTACTACGTCACAATCTGCGTTTTAACAAGTGGCTTACAGGGCATCCCTGCTTTCTTTCAGAGAGCCCAAAGCATCTCATAGATAGACCGGAGGAGCTCCTGAAGTGGGGAGTGCCAGAGTAGGATAAAGACAGGCAATATTGTCTCTGTCATGATAGGCCGGGCACATGCAGCTCAGTGTTCTCCTGCGAGCTGGCATCAGCAGGCACAGGCTGCTGACACAGGTACCTTTGCTCTCCCTTCCGCATTCCCCACAATATACGACTTGCCTGACTTTACCTAAGTCCTTCATCAGAACGCCTGCCTTGGTCTCAGAGCTATAGGGGATAGTACCCAAGAATGGTGCAAAGCAAACAAATTTAAAAGCTATTTCTTCACTCGCCCGGGGATGTTGAGCCACGCTGTGGAGGTACCGTGCTAAGGCAGAGAAATGACTCCAGTGCTTTCTTATCCCATCTGTCCACTCACCCTGTCACTGTTTTCTCAGATTGAGGGGTTAGGCAGATAAAAAGCTGCTTCCCTTCTTCCTTTTCAGAAGTCCTGGCAGATTCCAGGAAGGGGTGGCACACCAGAAAATTCCCCCCCACCCAGGCTCACATAGTCAGTGATCCTGAGTTCGAGTGCTTCTAGCCCATAGCTCAGGCCAGTCTCTGCCATTGGTTGAGGTAGATATGGTTCCTCTAGACAGGTTGCCTTCATCTCTCTTCTTAGTGGGACCTTTCCCTCAAGGAAAGCCAAACAGTCGTCTTGCAGGACCGGTGAGCATAAACAGACATGATGATTCCCATTGTATGAACTTGAAAATAAAAGCCCCCAAAAGCCCATTCATGTACCTGGAGTCAGAACGGCATGGGTGAAGCTTTTATTCGGTCAGTATTGTTATATCACAGCTGTGTCTCTTCACTAGGCCAGCTGATACTTCTGGAGCGCTTACTATGTACCTGGTACTCTTCTCAGTGCTCTGCATGGGCTAAGGTATTTGATCCTCACAATAAACTTCTGAGGCAAGGTACTGTTCATTATCCCCCAGATCAAGATGCCAGGAGGGTTGGTTTTCTCTGAAGTCTGTCTCCTTGACTTGCACGTGGCCGCCATCTTGATGCCTTTTCACATGGTCTTTTCTCTGTTCATGCACATCCCTGGTGCCTCTCTGTGTATCCAAATCTCCTCTTCTTTGTAGGGACATCTGTCTGATTAGATTAGGGCCCACCTAATGGCCTCTTTTTAATTTAATCACCACTTTAATGGAGGTATTTCCAAACGTAGTGACATTCTACGATTAGGCCTTGAGCCTATGAATTTTGGTGGGGACACAATTCAGCCCATTACAGCTTTACTGCTCTGTAGAGAAAACAGTATTTCTCTTTCATTCCTTTTTCTCCTTCCTTCCTTCCTTCCTTCCTTCCTTCCTTCCTTCCTTCCTTCCTCCCTCCCTCCCTCCCTCCCTCCCTCCCATCTCTTTCTCTCTTTCCCCTTCTTCTCCTTTCTCATGGCAGATTTGCTATTACAGTTGTTATAACACTTAATACTTTACAAATAGGTGTCAAGCTATAGCCAATCAGCTAATCAAAAATGTTCAAGTAACTTTCCTTAACATTGAAACTTCTTTGATGAGCTCTCTCTTAATGAGCAATTCTAATCACTCTGGTAAATAATATTGGTGCCCTTTTTCTAACATGAAGCTAAAAAGAGCTCATGGTGGTGGCTCCATTTGCTTGTGCCTTGGCAACTGGCTTTCCCTTTGTTTTCTTAGATAGTTGGGATCCCTCCTGGGCTACTTCTGGCCTTTAGGACTTTTTGCTTTGTGATCTCTTTAGTTGAGCACAGATTGAGTTAAAATAAGATGCAGGAAGATAAGCAACTCTTTCTTTCTTTTTTTTTTTTTTTTAGTGATATCTTCTTTTTTTTAATGTTTTTATGTATTTCCTTTTTTTTTTTCTTACAAATACTTTATTGTCAAGTTGGTTTCCATATAACACCCAGTGCTCATCCCCACAAGTGCCCTCCTCCATGCCCATCTCCCCCCTCCCCTCCCACACCCATCAGTCCTCAGTTTGTTCTTAGCATTCAAGAGTCTCTCATGGTTTGCCTCTCTCCCTCTCCCCCACCATTTCCCCCCTTCTTCTCCCCCTTGGTGTTCCGTTAAGTTCCTCCTAATCCTCCTATATATGCAAACATACGGTATTTGTCCTTCTCTGTCTGACTTATTTCGCTCAGGATAACA